CACACACACACACACACACACACACACAGTTTTGAAAACCTCCTTGTCCAAACGTGGGGGCGTGTGGATGATGGAACCGACACGAAATTATGACGACAAGAAGATTGCAGGAGGTCCTTGTCTTCTGTATTTGACTGGACGGAAAGAGACCCCACTGAGGGTGTTTCGTGTTGGGAAAGTTTTTCCGTCCAGTCATGTTGCAAACCTCGTTATCATGCATGTATAAAAACCCTATTCTGGTCCAAATACAGTCATGATGCTGTATAGTTGTAAATTGTTGGGCGTCTTCGTTGTTTGAATTTTTTATCCAGTTGAAGGTCTTTGCACCATCTTCATCCCAGTTATAGCAGGTTAACCCAGGAGGCACCTCACCTCCTCCTCCTCCTCCTCCTCTCCCAATCCGCTAACTTTATCCACCCACTCTTGTCAAATGGCACCCTCTTTCCCGGGAACAAGGTTGCACTGGATTATTGTGAATGTATAGGGAATCTGTTCCTGTCCAAGTGCATTGATAATGCTTCGCACTGTTACATGTTTTCCAAACCGGTGTCCACTCGTGACCGCCCTCAGTGGGGTAGTTTTCTCACTACCTTCTTCCTGCAGACACAACGCTACACCATCATGACTGTATTTGGACCAGAATAGGGTTTTTAACTTTTTATTCATGCATGATAATGGGCTGCTATGTTCAGGAGAAGGTGTGTAGCCGGAGACCTGTTGCCACTAGATAGCCTGATTGCAATGACTGTCTGCACCACAATCCTTGGTCTAGCCACAACATGTTTGATTCCCTTTTTTTTGTTTGAGGCTGTCACCCTTGTGTCTTTTTTGCTTCCAGTGGAGTTCGAACTCAGGTCTGTATTTCAATTGTCCATAGCTTGTTCAACTTTGCTGACGCTTCTTCATTATTTTACTTTCATGAGCCCTGAATCCCAGAGTAGTCCCAAAATTGTCTTAAAAAAGAAAGAAAAATAAAAAATAAAAAAAAATTGTCTTCAAGTCACATGGGTGATATCAGAAAACGTATAAGAGGGGGGTGATGCAAGCACCCTCCCTTAGCAGCAGCTCGCCGATAGCTCCGACAATCTATTGGTCGGGAGCTGCACCTGCTGGAAATCAGGGGTCCACTGTTCCATCAGATGCACAGTACAGTCAGATGGGGGACATAACCTAAGCCGGGTTTGGCTCAAGGTGTACGGATGTCAGGAATCAAGATAAGTAACCCTTCCAGATGGATCAACGACTCCTTCCCCCCCAAACACCACCCCCCCCCCCCCCCCCCCCCCCCCCCCCCCCCCCCCCCCCCCCCCCCCCCCCCCCCCCCCCCTTTCTTTCTGGATGTCCCTGACTGTCTCGTCAGCTCTGAGGACCTAACACAATGAAAAAAAGCTGAAGCCCAAGCAACCCTTATCCACCTGCATTACTCTCCATACCACTGACGACTCGCTAATGAGAACCGGTGCGGAGGAAGTCGGTCACCAAAGTCTGATAGGGAGACCGCAGCCGGACCGCCCAGCCGGACCGCGCTGTTGATTTTCGTCCATTCGCGGAAGAGGAGCCTCTGTAGTTTCTGGCGATCTGGTCGTCTTCGCCCTGTCCCCTTTGTCATCATACCTACCCCCCTTCTGCTGATTTGTTCTTCATCAAGTGGACTAATATGCAGAATAAGCCCAGAGAGCATGCAACGACAGAAAACGCCCGGTCAATTAGTGCCAAGGATTTTGGGAAAAGTGAGTGTGGAGTTGCAGGTTGTGACCCCTACCGTCTTCACTCGAATATAACGCCCGGTCATTGTAGCTGTATTTGGCACAACTTTCAGCCCAGATGCGGCAATAATTACCCAGCATTCTATTCGGGTGAACACAATCAGGAGCATGTGTTGGCAACTACCAGGACCTGGTAAATCTGCAATGGAAGGGGTATTTTTGATAAAGCTGCAATGGAAGGGGTATTTTTGCAATGAGACTTGTGGCCCCGAATGATATTTTTTGCCGGGAAACTTGCGGCGCATCGCGATGCGCTGTACTGCGCACGTGCGCCGCACCGTGCTTCCCGCACGTCGCGCGCGCACTGCATGCAGCGCACCTCCAAAAATGGGGGGGGGGAAAAAAGAAAAAAAGTTGTGAGGGGGGGTAGAAGACCCGGCCCCCTGCTCGCGTTGGCCTGAAAGATTTTAGTAACCTGTAGTCCGGGTATGACACTGTATGGTAGGGTTATTGCCGTCTGTATGGTAGGGCTCTTGCAGGCCAGATTCAGTCATGATGAGGGTCGCAATCTCTCAAAACGATCTCTTCTTATTACTTCTGTGGTAGAAAACGACGGAACTGACAGCCGTCAGCCGTTTTTCCTGGAATGTTTTTTTTAGAATTTCTTTGCACGAGTGAAGCCCAGCACGTCCAACCTGTTAGAACCTCAACGGTAACGTTCACCAACGGGCTCGCTGCACAACTCTCGACATGCACAACAAGACATAGGGCCTCGCTGCACTACTCTCAACGTGCACAAAAGACAAAAATATTGGCGGTGCAGCTTTCCATATTCTAATGCAAGATTCACTCTCATTTTGCAGATTTCCAGAGTAGTGCAGCGAGGCCCATATATGGCAATGCGGCAATGTATCTTTCCATGTTCAAGCGGAGGATTCAGTCTCATTTGTTCAGAGATTCTCCAAAAAAAGAAAAAGTTTCCAGAGATACGTTTGGTGCTTACCAGATTCATCGGCCCTTTGTTCTCCACCACCCAACGTATGAATGAATCTTCCGCCAGAACATGGAAAGATACACCGCCATATTTTTTGTCCTTTGTGCATGTCGCCCCGCTTCCGGATTCATGTTGCCCGTTGATAAGGGCGGTTTCTTCGGTCCGATAGTGTCAGCACACAGTTTCTTCTCTCTCTCACGCGGTTTCCTCTCTCTCTCTCTCTCTCTCTCTCTCTCTCTCTCTCTCTCTCTCACACACACACACACACACACAAATGTGGCGGTGTATATTTCCATGTTGCAGCGGTAGATTCACTCGATTTTGCTCGTCGTTTCAATGGAAGTACCAGGAGGCCAGCCGCGACATTGGTTACCTCTCTCTCTCTCTCTCTCTCTCTCTCTCTCTCTCTCTCTCTCTCCCTCCCTAAAATAAAAAAACAGTAAAATAAATCCCTAAACAAACAGTAAAATAAAAATAAAAGAAAACATGGTGTGCGCACCCAGCGCACCTGCGCCCCACCAGCGCTCACCGCACTGGCCCTGAGCGCGCACTGTGCACTGCGCACCCGGGTGCGCGGCGCGCACCTCGGGTCCGCGCACCGCACAGCGGGCGGCGCACCGCGCAGCGTACAGGGTCAGTGCGCTGCAAGTATGCTACCAGGGTTAAACCTAGACCACTCGATGTCCGATCGGCGGATGTTGCAGCCGGACATATCCGTCGGACGTCCAGTAGGGAAATTGTCCGGGATCCCGGACAACCTTTTCTCCGGCAATTTAAAAGCAAAAAAAAAAAAAAAATTGCAGGGAGGGGGAGGGGGAGGGGGCCTCGCAGCGCAGGAGTTCCGTAAGACAATTTTCAGCTCATTTGGAACCGAAAAAATGAAAAATGGGGTAATAACAGGGTAGCTGGTGGGAGGTTTGGGGTGGGTTGAGGGTCTGCTGCTGCAGCAGGTGTAGCATGTGCTGCACATACCGCGCCTGCTGAAGTAGAGATTGCAGCTGCACTATGTGCTGCACATGCCGCACTTGCTGAAGTAGAGATTGCAGCAACTAGTGCAGCAGGTGCAGCATTAGTTTTGTGTGGTCCATCTGCACCATCTGCAGCAGCAGATGCAGCAGGTGCACCATCTGCAGCAGGTGCACCATCTGCAGCAGGTGCACCATCTGGCCGGGTCATCTGCAGCAGCAGATGCTGCACCCGCTGCAGCTGTTTGCCGCTGCAGCTGGGTTACCTGCAGTGTCTGCGGCATTTTGCCGTAGCAGCCTCAGCAGCTGCTCCATCCGCATCAGCCGTGTTACCTGGACTATCTGCAGCATTTTGCCGCAACAGCCGCAACAGCTGCTCCATCTGCAACATCTGTCGCACATGCATAGCAGATGCAACATTGCTGCTGCAGATGCTGCAGATGCTGCATCCGCTGCATCTGCTGTTGCACCTTCTGCATCCGCTGTTGTCCTGGCCAGATGCCTCTCAGGGTTCTCCAACCGGAAACCGGAGGGGTCCTGGGGCTAGGTTCCACATACACGAAATAAGCGATATTGACCGTAGATAGGATAGCAAAGATCAACAGCCAGAATCTCGTAATCCATGCAAGTGTGACCTTGCCCCTGGACATCACCCGCCAGCCGAGCAAAATGTGCTATAATTCCGAAATTAACCCAGGTGTATTTCGACCCCCAGACAATAGAGCCTTGGAAGGTACTGATGCTCTATTTCCTCCCATGACGCTTCGCAGTACAGACATTGGTCGTTGTTTGATAATTCAAAGAACGTACAAAAAAGAGAGAAATATTATAAAACAGATAAATAAATTAAAATAATCACAGTGCAAAGCACATACAAGAGTTCAAAAGATAACAGGTAATGGCATAGAAACCAGAATTTACTGAAGTGTGGAGTGGGCCTCACCTGACGGGCCCAAGTGAGACCCACGTGAACAAACAAACAAACACGCGATAGAGAACAGAACAGACCTACAACACTGAAGGACACCTAAGGACTATGCCCAAATGCGGTCCAAACAAACAAAAACGTATCTACCCTGGAATGGGACCAGCTTAATTCACATCTGCCCAAGAATTTGCATTCTCTCTCAGCGAAGAAGTAGAAATACTACATACCTCCGTCAACCTTATCCAACGAATCTCAACCTCCACGTAGTCTCCCCTACCAACAAGCCTCAGCAAGGTCGGTCGCTTCAGGAGGATTTCGTCGTTTGCTTTTCCATGCAGCACAAGGGGGGGCTATACCATGACCTCACTTTCTTTGTTCCAACCGGGATACAGATATTGGAGAATAGCATGTTAAACAACCAGTACCTCCTACATGTGCTCCGCATTAACGCCCAGCCGAAAGTGGAAATTGCGCCATTTCCACTCGACTGAATTGGGCCTGCTGGCTCCGGGCCGTTCATCCGAAAAGCCACGCTCGTTAACATGGAGCACTTTTAGCAGGTACTGGTGCCTCTTTTTGTAGCTGATGTGGAGTAGGGAGCACACGCCAAGCTTTGTGCCAGCACAACCTCTATTCTTTCCTTTTCGCTGGCTGGCAGTGGCACCCCCCCGCCTTCCAAGAATGCAGCAGACGTATACGTGATCCTATGGGCGCTCTTGCGTTTCTTTTATTTACTTATATTTACTGGCTGTTAACCTCCCACTCTGAAAGGTTTCTTCTCCCTTTTCTTTTTCCCTTTTTTAAAGTCCTTCTCTTTTCTTCTTCTCCTCTTCATTTTTTCCCTATTCCCTTCTTTTCTTTTCTTCCCACTCTTCTTTCCCTTCCTTTTTCTCTCCTCCTTTCCTTTTTGCCATTTATTCAAAGGACGACACAGTCGTGAGACATGATCATCAAACTGCCCAGCCCTAGGCAATTCAGGGATTTAGTATTTCACTCCTTTCATTCCAGCGGAGTTTTGAATTAAGGTCTGTATTTCAGCAATCCAGCGGTGTACCACCTGACCTAGCCCAGTTGGTACCTAGCCCACTGGTGGTTTAAAGGAAAGAAGACCAAGAAGAAGAAGAAGAAGAGCAACAACAACAACAACAACAACAACAACAACAACAACTCGTCATCCCGGCTTCACAGATAGACCTTGAAAAAGCCATGCACGGTCTACGCAGTGTCCTACCCTCCCATTTAACTATCACTGTTTAACAACTTTTACTTTCACTGCAATTTCCTGCCCGACAGAGAGGGGAGGAAGAGTGCAAATTGGAAGAAAACATACATTGGAGTCTGTAGGAGAAAACATATTTTCTTGTGCCACAGGAAAAAAAAAAAAATGAACGATATTTGGTCAGTGAAAAGTCGGCAATGCCCTCGTCCTCTTCCACCACTGTTCTCCAGCATGTGCTGTGATCTTTCCTCAGAACTGCACAAAATGACACTATCAGCTGCTTTCCACATTCCTTCCCTTTTTCGAGACAACACATGAGACAAGTTACAGAATATAGAATCTGCACTGTGCGTGCGCACCCATCCGCTCGCCCGCCTTGAGAGGTACACACCACCTCTATTGTCGACCTCTTCTAATCTGCACAGCTCCTCGACTTGCCCATCATACACCTTGAGAGGTATACACCACCTCTGTTCTCTACCTCCTTCACACAACTCACATCGCCATGCGGTTACTCTAACAGCGATTTGAAACGTTCTTGTCTGGTACTATCGTCACCACACACCTCTCACTCACTCACCAAAGCTCTCCTCTGCCACCACCACTTCCTCTTCTCATGTCCTTATCTTTCATCCAACACAGCTTTCTGTCCCTCACATCGCCAACAACTATAAAGTGGTCAAGTTCATTAAGGTTTATACTTGATAGTAGGGGACTAAGGAACCGACGAAGGCCTCTAGCAAGCCTCTGGAGGCTCGCTGCAGAGTTGGAAACGTATATAGGAAACACAGCATGGTATAGACAATTTAGAGTTAGGTTTCATAAGGATCACAGTATATAACTCACTCCCGGCATCTTACGCACCACACCCTTTCGTTTGCTCACGGATCTCCCGCCACCCAATCGAATCGAATTGAAACGGCTTACTTCGAATCAAATGAGTTCGCATTGAAGTCTTCCTTCCCATTTCATTTGCTTTATCCAACTCAGTTGTCTGTTGCTGACCGAGGTATAACCCCCAAGTTCCCCAACAATAAACCTTAACTGGACTCCGATGCTCTGTCTCCATCCAATCAATTAATCAATCAATTACCTTCCGGCCACCTCCCCTCCACCAATAAACCTTAACAGGAGTCTTCGATGCTCTGCCGAAATCCAATCAGTCAATTAATTTCCAGCCTCCTCCGCCCTCCTCCTCCTTACCTTGTATCTTTCCCCGCCACAGCAACAGAGCTGTGTATCCTTGACCAAACTGTAACCCTCCAGATGTCTTTACTCCCGCCGTTGCAGTGTCCTCAACATCTCATTTAAGTTTATACTCGTCATCAGAAGTAGAAGAAGAAAAAGGACGAAGGGTAACTTCTCTCATCTGTCACGAGCTGGACTCGGACAAGTCCTTCGAAGATGGCAGACGCCATAATCGTCATCAAAATTCTCCGGTTCACTCCTTGCAACTCCCTCTCACCAGAAATTCAATAACCTTGCACCACTCTGTTCGGCATTCGGTCCTCGACACCTGGAACGACCTCCCCTCCTCTCCACTCCCCGCACACTCCCTCCCTCTCCTCAATGCTCAACCTGGAGTAGCTGCCCACCCCCCCACTCTGTTCCACATTCTCTGAACCTGGAATCACACACCCTCCATGCTCAAAATTCCTCTCAAATCCAGGGACCACCCTCCACGCTCAAACTGGAACACCTACCCCTCCTCCTCAATGCTCAACCTGGAGCAGTTGCCCACCCCCCCACTCTGTTCCACATTCTCTGAACCTGGAACCACACACCCTCCATGCTCAAAATTCCTCTCAAATCCAGAGACCACCCTCCACGCTCAAACTGGAACACCTACCCCTCCCCCCCACCTCCCCCTCCCCCCAAACCCCCTTCCCCTTTCTCCATGCTCAACCTGGAACACCCCCTCCAACCCCCTCCAACCCCAAAACACCCCCCCATCTCAATTCTGTTTTGCCGATGTGACTGACTAACCGTGGAACCGCAAAGAAATTAACTGCAGATATCACACCCCACCACAATCAAATGGTCCTTCATTCCATTACTTCAACTCCTTTTGCACACATGAAACCACAGCCTCCGACAACCATTTCCTTCTTTTTTTTCTTTTTTTTTTTCCCAATAAACCAGCAGCAGCTGATAAGGTCAATCTGAGTCCATAAAGAATGCTACGCACAGACTTCCCAACACTATCCCCCTGGGTGATGAACCAACCACCCTCCACCCCCTTCCCCCCCACTGTAATCTCCACTGTGATCAGCTAAACTCCCACAAGGCAAGAGATTGCTATACTGGATTGAACTCAAAGTGTTTGTCTTGTGAAAACTTACAGACAATGGCAAGCAAGCTAAGGTACAAGGGATAAGCCTTACCTATGTAGCTATTAATAAGATGGTCTTGACTCTTGAGAATATCTCAGCTATAAAGCAGAAAGAATGGGAAAGGGGTGGTGACCCCTGCCCTGCATCTAAAAGGGAAAACCACAGGAAATGTTGGACTTGATTTAACAGAAAAAGTCAAATCTGACCTTCCAAAGAAGAGAAAGGTCATCAATGGCACCTATCCTGAGAGAGCTAAAAGACAAAAAGGACAAGCCTGACATATACCTATCCCAGCAGAATGTCTCAACTACCACAGAGGGGAGGGGCATGGGGGGGGGGGGGGGGGGGGGGGGGGGGGGGGGGGGGGGGGGGGGGCGGTGAACAGGACGGCAAACGTTAGATTTGACTTGCGGAACATTTAAATTTAAAGTCAGATCTGACCTTCCAGAAAAGGGAAAGGACATCAATGCCCCCTTTCCTCAGAAGAGATCTTTATGCTTTCTTCCCAGCCTCAATAGTTCTGAAGCTTCGTAGAAGGTTCGTGGACGCTTTCACACACAAGCAAAATCCTCGGAAGTTATCTTTGCATTTTCTTCCCAGCCTGAAGTACTTCGGAAGCTTCAGGGAGGGCTCACAGAAACTTACACACATAAGCAGGCAATCCGTCCCCTGTCCTCAGAAGATATCTTTGTGCTTTTCTTCCCAGCCTCCGTCGTTCTGAAAAGCTTCGTAGCAGGTTCAAAGATGCTTACACACACAAGCAGGCCAACCCCTCTATGCCGACAAGTCCTCCTCAATCTCCAGAAAAACTCTAGAAAGTTGGAGGAAGACAGAGAAACTCAGAGAGACTCAGAAGACTCTGAGTCTGCCAGTATCCACTACACTCTAGCATGTAAGATGCTGGTACTTAGAGACCCTTGAACCACCAAGATATCAGAAAAAAATACCAAGATATCAGAAAAAAATACCACAGTAGACTCTACTAGTCTGTAAGATGCTGGGACGTAGAGACACCCTCGAATCATCAAGATGTCAGAAAAAAATACCATATTTCAGGAGACTGCTACGTGGAGACTTAAAGCACACACTGCCACCAAACCTCTTTTTGCCGAAACACTGCCAGCCATTTTGGTACTCAACAGATACTCGAGAAAAAAATTCAAGAAGAATCAAGAGATACTCAAGGACTTGAGAAAAACTCCACAACTCAAGACTTAAAGCCCACACTCCCACCAAGCCTCTTTTGGCCGAAACACTGCCAGCCATTTTGTTACTCAACAGATACTGAGATGCTCAAGAACTTAAGAAAGACTCAAACTCAAACTCAAGACTCAAGAACGACTCAAACTCAAGGAAGACTCGAGAACGACTCGAGTTTTGATATACTCGAGAACAACTCGAGAACACTCAAAAGAAGGCGAGAGAAGCCAAGAAACTTCCAAGAGCGACTCAAGAAAGACTCAGACTCAAGAAACACTCAGACTCAAGAAAGACGCAAGAAAGATGCAAGAAAGACGCAAGAAAGACGCAAGAAAGTCGCAAGAAAGATGCAAGAAAGACGCAAGAAAGACGCAAGAAAGTCGCAAGAAAGACGCAAGAAAGTCGCAAGAAAGTCGCAAGAAAAAGAAGTCAGGACTCAAGAGAGACTCCAGAAAAAGGGACTTGCGAGTAACTGAAGAGACTGCTGGAAACTTGAAGCGCCGAGAGACTCTGAGACGTTGCGACTTGGAGACTGAAGCAGCTCTCCGGCACAGAACTCAGAACCGGAGAACCATCAATGGACCCGGCGAATAAACCGACGCTGGAGGACATTTCTCGGCGATAGGAAGCTTGTGCCACCATAGCCTTTCTTCACCGTAGCCACATGGGTGTGTCAGTGTCAACATGCTCAATTCTCTCTTTGTGAGGAAAGCAAGCCCCTGAACCTTGTTCAGAAAACCCTGCCATTATTTTCTTTGCCAGCGGCGCCACTGCATCCGCCTTACATTAAAAAAAAAAAGAAAGGTGTGACCGCAAATTCAGATGAAAGGAGGAAACTGTTCAAGATCCCAAGGCCATCATGAAATCGCCCTCGCAGACCAGCTCTCCCCCAACGTAGGCCTCTCCGCGCATTTTCGCAATTCCGAAACCCTTCCTCAGCTGTGTCAGCTTCATTCTCATTACGAGCGTATCCCCCGCCACGACGGGTTTGCGGAAGCGCACCTTGTCGATTCCCGCAAAGAAAAACGAATCCTTCGATCCCCCAACCTCTGGTGTGAGCATGACAACCCCCCCAACTTGAGCTAGAGCCTGCATATATAAAAGCAACCAAAAAAAAAAAAAAAAAAAAAAAAAAGGTCAGATAAGAAGCAGCAGACGCATCGGTCAATTCCCCCAAAGAAGACGGAATCCTTCAATCCCCTGACCTCTGGTGTGAGCATAACAACCCCCACCGCTCCCCAACTTCAGCTAAAGCCCACAACAAAAAGGACAAAAAAAAAAAGAAAAAAAAGTTAAGTCAGATAAGAAGAGGGAGAAGCGCCTATGGATGTTCTCAACTTTTTACCCATTCTTTTTTTTTGGTTATTGAAAAAAAAAAAAGCATCTATGGTTCATCTATATCACCAAGACAAAACAAAAAAGGATACAAAATTTACAGAGCCGACAGAGCGGCTTGCGGATGGACTAATGGTTTTAACGGAAAATTTAACCACAAGTACATCCGAAAAAGCAGACTGCGCCTCCAGAGGTCCCTACACTGCTTTTCTTGTCATCAAGTACAGGGCAAAAATCTACAGTGCCCAGGCCTGGTAGACGTTCGGTGGGGAAGGGTCCCACGGCTATTTTTCCTTAGCCGTTCGGTGGGGAAGGCTACCACAACGACTATTTTTCCTCACAGCGGCACTGTCAATTTCCAGGTTGGGGAAATGCAAATTTTGGTTTGTCAAAATAGGTCTGTATGGAGTGGTGGTCTAGCTTACCACCCCGGGCGCACGGGGTACCTCACCGTGCCTGGAATGGCGCCGGGGGTGCCGGGCCGGGCAACCCCCCCGAGCAGGCACCCTATTCCAAATGCGACAACTTTGTCTTCAGCAGTCAGCGCAATTTTTTTTGGGGTTCGGTAGGCCCCGTTTTGAAGGTTTTTAATTTTGGGGGGAATTCTGGTCGTCGATCTGCATAGATCAACGGTGCGCGCTGATACAGGATTCAAATCCGCCCCCTCCTGCACCCCCTCCCCCCCAGAAATCAACATACGTGAAAATAAAAAAGAGGCCGGATTTGGGCATTACTCCCAAAGCGCAGCAAGGTCTGGTCGTTCAGGGAAAAAATAAAATAAAAAAAATCGGGGTTTTTTTGCATGCTCAGGATACCCCAAGCGGGGTGCCCGGCGTTCCCACGGCCGGGCGCCCCAGGAAAGCTAGGTGGTGGTTCAATTGCCATTCAAAATTCAAATGAATTTTTATTTTTTTTATTAGTTATTTTTCCTTGCGCAGAGGCCATGTTAATCTTCTCTGTATCTTTCCAATTTTAACAGATGTCCCCAAGGACAAAATTAATTTTAATTATTAATATTCAATTATTTGAGAATTTCACTTCCAAGCATCGGCAGGGCAGCATTGCATGGACTGTGCCCTCTCACCTCAACCATCAGAACGCCGGGCATGATGGGCCTCTCAGGAAAATGACCGGGGAAGAAATTGTCGTTGATGGTGACATTCTTGATTCCCACAGCCGACTTTCCGGGTTCGAACTCAACGATTCTATCCACCAGCAAGAAGGGGTACCTGTGCAGTTAATGCAGAGGCAGGAATACGAACAACGACGGAAGGATGAGCAACAACCGAGGCACGATGCATACAATAGAATCTATAAAATTTGAGGCATGAAATCATTGTTTTGGTCAGCGGGAAAAAAAAAAAAAAAAAAAAAAAATCAGTACTACGCATATAAAAACAGAACACCCACTCAACCCATCAGCACTAAAAATATTGCAGATCATTAACCCGCTACGACCTCCGAGCCTCTTTCTGCAGCGGTGCAGAAGAACTGCTCGCAACTGGCCGAAGCAGCGACTCGGCATTTTTCTTTTTCTTTTGGCGGGCGTGAGCAGCCGTTTTGGTCCGGATATGGTTACAGAAGACAGAGAGGGTTATGTGTACCTTGATGCTGTTCCTCCTTTTTCTGAAGGGGGTAGCTGTAGTTCATTGTATCCATCCAATTCCATCAGGGTTCGAACTCATGCACGATTGTTCATCAAACGACTAAGCATCATACTGTCTGCCCCTTACCATGTCTCTCCTGAAGGGTTAAGCTGCATCGAATATTCTTTTTCTTTTTCTTTTTCTTTTTTTAATCGGACATTCTTTCCTTTTAAACCACCACTACCTTTCAGGCTTCCA